TGGTGCGAATTTACGTTGTTAATTTTCTGTCCAACACTTCTTCAACATGACAAAATTATTACGGAAATTAATTATACGGAGGCCTAAACGGAGGAACTTGGCTAGAATCCCGTGTTCCATGGTCTGTGCCCCGCCTCCAATTTCTCGAGCCGTTTCCAACCAACCTGCCAAATTTTGGCCCATTTCGACACTGTCGCAGCAAATAACAAAATTGCCTCTGGTACGGTTTTGCGTTGTTAATTTTCTGTACAACACTTCTTCATCCTGACAAAATTAATAAGGAAATTAATTATTCAGAGGCCTAAAAGAAAGAATTTGGCTAAAATCCCTTGATCCCGGGTCAGTGCCCCGACTCCAATTTCTCGGGCCATTTCCAATCAACCTACGAAATTTCAGCCCGTTCCGATGCCGTCGCGACAAATGACAAAATTGCCCCTGGTGTGATTTTACGTTGTTAATTTTATGTCCAACACGTTTTCATCTTGACAAAATTAATACGGAAATTAATTATTCGGAGGCCTAAACGAAGGGATTCGGCTAAAATCTCGTGATCCAGGGTCTGTGCCCTGAGTCCAATTTCTCGGGCCGTTTCCAATCAACCGGCCAAACATCGGCCCATTCCGATACCATCGCGACAAATGACAAAATTGCCCCCGGTGTTGTTTTGCATTGTTAATTTCTGTCCAACACTTCCTCATTTTGATAAAATTAATACGGAAATTAATTATTCAGAGGCCTAAACGATGGAATTTGGCTAAAATCTCGTGATCTTGGGTCAATGCCCCGAGTCCAATTTCTTGGGCCGTTTCCAGTCAACCAAGCAAATTTTGGCCCATTACGATATTGCCGCGACATATGAAAAATTCCCCCTGGTGCGATTTTGCATTGTTAATTTTCTTTCCAACACATCTTCATCCTGACATAATTAATAAGGAAAATAATTATTCGAAGGCCTAAACAAAAGAATTTGGCCAAAATCCCGTGATCCTGGGTCTGTGCCCCGAGTCCAATTTCTCGGGCCATTTCCAATCAACCTGCCAAATTTTGGCCCATTTCGACACCGACGTGACAAATTACAAAATTACCCTTGGTACGATTTTGCGTTGTTAATTTTCTGTCCAACACTTCCTTAACCTGACATAATTAATACGAAAATTAATTATTCGGAGGCCTAAACGAAGGAATTCGGCAAAAATCCCATGATCCCGAGTCTGTGCCCCGAGTCTAATTTCTCGGGTCGTTTCCAATCAACCTGCCAAATTTCGAGCTGTTCCGACACCGTCGCGACAAATGACAAAATTGCCCCTGGTGCGGTTTCACTTTGTAATTTTCTGTCCAACACTTCTTCAACCTGACATAATTAATACGAAAATTAATTATTCGGAGGCCAAAACGAAGGAATTCGGCTAAAATCTCGTGATCCCGGGTCTGTGCCCCGAGTCCAATTTCTCGGGCCGTTTCCAATCAACCTACCAAATTTCAGCCCAATTCAACAACGTCACGACAAATGACAAAATTGCCCCTGGTGCGATTTTGCGTTGTTGATTTTCTGTCCAACGCCTCTTCATCCTGACATTATTAATATGGAAATTAATTATTCGGAGGCCTAAACGAAGGCATTCGGCTAAAATTTCGTGATCTCAAGTTTGTGCCCCGAGTCCAATTTCTCGGGCCGTTTCCAATTAACCAACATAAATTTGGCCCATTCCAACACCGTCGCGACAAATAACAAGATTACCCAAGGTGCGATTTTGCCAACACTTCTTCATCCTGATAAAATTAACACAGAAATTAGTTATTCGGAGGCGTAAACGAAGGAACTTGGCTAAAATCTCGTGATCCTGGGTTTGTGCCCCGAGTCCAATTTCTCGGGCCATTTCCAATCGACCTGCCAAATTTCGGCCCGTTAGGACACTGTCGTGACAAATGACAAAATTGCCCTTGGTGCGATTTTACGTTTTTAATTTTCTTTCCAACACATCTTTATCCTGACGTAATTAATAAGGAAATTAATTATTCGAAGGCCTAAACGAAGGAATTTGGCTAAAATCTCGTGATCCCGGGCCTGTGCCCCGAGTCCAATTTCTCGGGCCATTTCCAATCAACCTGCCAAATTTCGGCCCCATTCCCACACTGTCGTGACAAATGGCAAAATTTTCCCTGATGCGGTTTTGCGTTGTTAATTTTCCATCCATCACTTCTTCAACCTGACAAAATTATTACAGAAATTAATTAGTCGAAGACCTAAAGGAAGGAATTTGGCTAAAATCCCGTGATCCTAGGTTTGTGCCCCGAGTCCAATTTCTCGGGCCGTTTCCAATCAACCTACTAAATTTCGGCCCATTCCGACACCGTCGTGACAAATTAAAAAATTGCCCCTGGTGCGATTTTGCGTTATTAATTTTCTGTCCAACACTTCTTCAACCTAACAAAATTATTATGGAAATTAATTAGTCGAAGACCTAAATGAAGGAATTTGGCTAAACTCCCGTGATCCTGGGCCTGTACCCCGAGTCCAATTTCTCGGGCCGTTTCCAATGAACTCGCCAAATTTCGACCCATTTCGACACCGTCGTGACAAATGATAAAATTGCCACTAGTGTGTTTTGC